CTGAGACTTGCAAGCAGCTCCAACACTTCCTGGGATTTGCCTATTTCTATCGTAGGTTTATCCTCAACTACAGTCACACTGCTCTTCCCCTGACAGCCCTGACCTCTTCCAAGGTTCCCTTTGTTTGGTCCACTGAGGCTGAAGTAGCCTTTTCCCATCTTAAGAAACTTTTCGCCAGTGCTCCTGTTCTCACTCAGCCAGATCTCTCCAGACAGTTCGTAATGGAGGTGGATGCCTTGGATTCTGGAGTTGGAGCTGTTCTCTCCCAAGTTGCGGGTGCGGATAACAAATTACACCCCTGTGCCCTTTTCTCTCGCAGACTCACTCCTGCTGAGAGAAATTATGATGTCAGAGATCAAGAACTTTTAGCCATTAAGTTGGCTCTGGAGGAGTGGAGACACTGGCTAGAGGGAGCTGCACATCTGGTTCAGGTTTGGACTGATTTGAGGAATCTCTCCTATATCCAATCTGCTAAAAGACTCAACCCCCGCTAATCCCGTTGGTCATTGTTTTTCTCCCGGTTCAACCTATCTATCTCTTTCCACCCTGGCTCTCGGAACGTCAAACCGGACGCCCTTTCTAGGCAGTTTTCTCCGGACAAATCTGAGGAGTCGGTGGCTCCCATCCTGCCTCCTAGCTGCTACGTGGCCGCAGTCACCTGGGAGATTGAGGATGTTGTCAAACAGGCCCAACAGACAGAACCTGATCCTTGAACCGGGCCACCTAACAGAATCTTTGTACCTTCCTCCATCCGAGCTAGTGTAATCAATTGAATTAATTCTTCAAAGTTTTCTGCCCATCCAGGGATCAGTTGAATGGTAGCCCACATCAGCCGGCACTTTTGATGGCCCTTCTTGCTGAAGGATGTCAAGGAATTTGTTTTAGCCTGCCTTACCTGTGCTCGCAACAAACCCTCTCATCAACCTCCTTCCGGACTGCTTCAACCTTTACCCATCCCCAAGCGACCCTGGTCTCACATCGCATCGACTTCATCACAGGTCTCCCCACCTCCAAAGGTATGACAACTGTCATGGGAAAAAAGTATTCAACTATTCATCCTGGTTAAATAAACGGAGATCGATGGATTTCACTCAGTCGGCACATTTATTCATATCTTTGCAAAGAGAGAGCAGTCATCCTACAGCCCTTGTGGCACAGCATTCTGCCCTGTTCTGATCTGGGCATAGTTCGTTCCCCCTTACTTACAACAATGGAAAGTAGTCAGAGTCAAAACAAATTACAAACACTTTGGTTAAACAGTAAAATGTTATGAATAAACCTAGAGAAAGAAGCTGTTTTTTTATGGTAAGATGCTATGTCGGGTCTTCAAACATCATCCTGCAGGGAACAGTGTGGCCTTAAAAGTGAAACAGACTATGAGAAAACTTTTATAGTGAATAAATAGGATAGATTAATATATAATAGAAGAGAGATAAAAAATTTCCGACAACACAACCTTCCTCACCATCACTGATCGTTTTTCCAAGGCCTGTCATCTAGTATCTATGAGAAAACTCCCTACAGCTCTGCAAACAGCCCAGCTTCTCGTTAAACATGTTTTTTGGCTTCATGGAATACTTCTGGACATTCTGTCTGACCGCGGCCCGCAGTTCATCTCCCAGGTATGGATAAGTTTTTGCTCGGCACTTGGGGCCAAGGTCTATCTCACTTCCGGTTACCACACCCAATCCAATGGTCAAGTTGAACGGATGAACCAGGAATTGGAAATCAGCCTCAGATGCATCACTTAAAACAGATCCGACTAACTGGAGTCAATTTCTGCCATGTACTGAGTACGCTCATAATTCTAGTGTCTCTGCAGCTACCGTTTTTTCTACATTCGAGATCTCCCTAGGATACCAGCCACCCCTTTTTTCCTTCAGAAGAGGCAGACATCGCCGTACCCTCCATCCAGCAACACATCCGCCGCTGCCGGACCTTCTGGAACCGGGCCAAGATGGCCGTGGGAAGGACCTCCCAGCAGAATCAGAGGTGGGCTAATCGCAGGAGGAGGGTTGCCCCTTCCTATTGCCTTGGCCAGAAGGTCTGGCTCTCCACCCGTGATATTCCCCCTTAAGGCTATGTTATGCAAACTATCCCCAAAATTCATCGGTCCCTACGAGGTAGAAAAAACCGTAAGAGAATCCACAGTCCGCCTCCTTTTACCATCCTCCCTCCGTTTTCACCCCACTTTTCACGTCTCCCAGGTCAAGCCAGTGTCATCCAGCCCCTTGTGCCCACCCGCTGAGCCCCCTCCCCCTATGAAAATTGATGGCCACCCCGCCTACACGGTTCGATGCACTGTTGATGCCTGTCCCCGTTGGTGTGGGTGGCAGTATTTAGTAGATTGGGAGGGCTACAGTCCCGAGGATCGCTCCTGGGTTCCGGGATCGTACATCCTTGACCCCTCCCTCATTAGGGATTTCCGCCTCTCTCAACCCTCCGGTTCCACTGGACCGCCGAGTGGCGGTCATTGAGGGGGGGGTACTGTCAGGACTCCAGTTTGTGTGTTTTTTCTTTTTGTGTTGTTCTCCCTTCCACCAGCAGGAGGCGCCTGGTTCTGGTCTGCCTCCTCACACACCTGATGATGGTTGCCTCATTAACGGAGTGCTCTTAAGCTGCTGATTGCCACTACCTTGATGCCACGTGTTTGGCAGTTTTGGGTACTCTAGCCAAGCTGAGTTTTTACTGAGTAAGACTGAGCTCTTGACTACCTGAGTTTTAACTTAGTTGTTTGTCTTTGCCTCTCGGCAGGAAGTCTTGCTGCAAACTGGATCTTTTCGGACCTTCACTCCCTAAAGGAATCAACTGAGCCTCAAACTGAGCTGGGGATTCAAACAAGAGGTTTAGATCCTTCTTTATTGAAGAGGATGTTGAGTTAACTCTCTGAGCAAGGGAATCATCTTTATCACAACCCGTTCAAGTACCGCAGGAAATTGAGTGGCAGTCAGTTTCTCCGTTCACCAACAACCAACCGAGTTCTGGGTAAACCCTGTTCCACCCTCCACCGAATCAGAATAAAACTGGAAAGCAGCACACAGATTGGAGTCAAAGATCCTACAACTTCTCTGTAAACGTGAGTCAACCACCAGATCCTCTTCTCCATATCCTCGAATGAAATTTCCCACTGAGCCTGAACTAATCGTTTGTCGTTCACCTTCCAGTTCCGGTCGAGCTGAGTTCTGAACAACTCCGCACCAAGCCTTAACTCTTCAATAAACCTGTTAAACCTTTCACCTGTGTCTCTCTGTTTGGTCTTCTGCATTTTGGGTCAGACCTTTAGTAAAACCATGACACTTTCCTTTTGATCAGGTTTTAAAAGTAAAAGGTATTAAAATGATTTAAATGATTTTAAAAGTTCATGGTAAAAAAAAAACATTGCTGTTGCTTATGGTTAATGCCATAACAAATGTATAATTTCACCTACACAGGTGAAAGTAATCTTTATAATAGTAGAGCTGGGCTTAACAGAGCACCAGAGGCTTCACTCAGTGCTGGTTTCTTGTTAGTTAGTTCTATGTTAGTTGCTTCCTAGACTCTTGCTTCCCTTGAGTATTTTTCCTGACGTTTATCGGTTTTGTTAGGTTTTCAGTATTTTTGTATTTTGTATTTTTGTCTCTGTTTCCCTTGGACTTACATTAAACCATCCTAACTCATCAGTGCCTACTCCTCTCTGCATTTGGTTCCTCAAAACCTCCACCAAACCTGACAGCAAATCTCCTAACATTGAAAGTCACACAAAGCTGTTAGTCTCAAACACAACACCCAGACTGATATTACTGACTGAAAGAATGTTTCAAAATTGATATAGAATTTGATGAAAGCAATATTTATTGTGATGATCATGATTTTTATTTTGTTGAACTCTTACAGTTTGAATTACATACTACAAAAAATATGTATATTTTTACTTAATATTGTCAGAACAAATAATAAAAAGAGCAAATTCTTCCTAAAACAGCAAAATAAACAAATAAATCATCAACCAAACAAAAAAAAAAAATATTCTAGATGGGAATATGTACCATCTTAGGTATATGCCAGATGCATGGAACAATTGAGCGGTATGATTACACTGATTAAAATTGATTGAAAATAGCATAGGCTCATATTTAACAAGTTCCCTTTAATGTGTGAACTGAACTGGATGCAGGTCGCATCTGAATATCCAGAAAATTCATTTTCAATATATCGCTTCGATTGTTTTCTAGGTTGGAACTATTTAGTATGAACATGCCTGAAGTCACATCTGCAGAAAAAGCGCGGCGACGTCCGAACCAAAGTACCTCGAAGGAAATTAGGCTCAAAGATTCCTCATCGCTGAACGACTGAGGTGTCAGTCTGCTCATCAAACAATGTTTTAGTCGTAGAAGGTCAAATAAAAAGGCTATTGTAAAGATATTTTTCAGTTAAAACTTACAAAATGTCTCTAACGTTATCTCAAAACTCCACAAAATGTAATTC